TGATGATGGGCTTCTCCTGTGACAACATGTCTCCTCACACAGTGGCTTGAACATTCGAAATTCTGACTGTGGTCGGCCACAGTGATGGGCAGAAGAAAGGCCCCCAAAGATGTCCATATCCGAACTCTCGGGACCTGTGATTACTTTCACCTTATCGGGCAAAGATAACTGCATTTATTAGCCAACTTGAGATCAGCCTGGGTTATCTGTGTAGTCCAGGCATCACTGCAAGAATCCTTAAAAGTGGAAGAGGAGGCAGAGGTCAGAGGGATGTGGGTGACTCAGCGTGCAGACACTGGCTTTGCAGAGGGAGGGACGGGGTCCTAGCCAGTGGATGCAGGCAGCCTCCTGAGGCTCAGAAAGGCCAGAAAAGTCATCTCTGGTTAACCCCCTGAAGGCCCAACGGTAAGGAATTGGTCGTGCTTCCACTGCAGAGGCCCGGGTTCAATCCCTGGTGGGGGAACTAAGATCCCACAAACCGAGAGGCACTGCAAAAAAAAATAATAATCTTACCTGGAGCCCCCAGAAAGAACTCAGACCTTGACTTTGGCCCAGTGAGAATTGTGTCAGATCCCTAACCTGCAGAAGCCTAAGAGAATACCTTTCTATGCACTTGGTGAAGGTAGTCCTGGGAAGGTGTTAACAGAATTGTTTCTTCTTGGGACTTCCTTGGTGGTTCAGTGGCTAAGACCCCACGCTCCCAGTGCAGGGGGCCTGGGTTCCATCCCTGGTCAGGGAACTAGATCCCACATGCCTCAAGTATTAGTAAGTGTTTGCATGCTGCAACTAAGGAGCCCATGTGCTGCAACAAAGATCCAGCACAGTCAATAGATAATAAATATTTAGAAAGGAAGAATTGTCTTCTCTCCAGGCCTAGAGGCTGGAAGCGTGGGTGGAGCCATGCCCTCTGAAGGCTCTGGGGGAGGGTTGTTTCTGGCTTCTTCCAGCCCTGGAATTGCCGTGTCATCCTCAAGTGTCCTTGGCTCGTGGAAGCACCGCTCCACTCTGCCTCCATCGTCACATGCAGGGTGTCTCGGGCCGAACTGCCCTCTTCTCGTAAGGACACCAGTCATATTGGATTTAGGGCCCACTTTGCTGACTTGATCTTACCTTGATTCTGTCTACAAAGATCCTATTTCCCAACGAGGGCACAATCACAGCACAGCAGCTCTGTCTCTCCAGGGATGGCTAAGAGGCAGGTCCGGTACAAGGAGGGTGTCTGGCCTTTCACGCTCACAGCTTTGAGTCTGGGGGCCCATCTGGCCACGCTGTGCAGAGTTGTGGTGGGTGCATGGTTTTTTGTGTCCTTTTCTCTTCTCCCTCCCAAGTTTGTGGTCCCGAAGGCTTTGACTAACAGTGTGAGGACGCCGAGGCTGTGTCCCCCACACAGTGGGAGAGGCAGGTTCGGGCGCCTTCTGTGGGGGAGGGGCCTCGGAAAACGCCCACCCCCTTTACTCCCTTCTCTTCTGGCTCAGCGGACCCACACCCAGCTCCGGAACCACCCCCAGCAGCGAGAATGTCACTTCGGGCTTCCATCACTTTCCCAAGACACTCTCCCAAAGTTCACTTTATATAAATGCTGGGATTTCATAAAGCTTTCTCTTTTCTCCATTCTCAAAAGCAGAAGGAACGCAAAGCCCTCCCTTGCCCATTTTGGTTCCTGGCTACCACCCATCTCTGGTTCCCTTTAGGGTGAACCCTTTATGGGTGCCTAGCCCTCCCCTTGGCTGTCTTCAGACCCTCCTCTCCAGCACACCAGCCCTCGACAGTGGTCACTAGGGTCCCCACCTCTGACTCATCACTCAGCAGGAGACACTGGTGTCTGTCTCCACTTCCTTCTGGAGACACACCCACCACTCATCCCTCTGACCTCCAAACACAAGAGCAGCCAAGTTATGTCCCTTCTTTCTGTGCTCTCACAAACCGAGGCTTCAAGCATCACCTACCCACCTAGAATCTCCTGCCCACATTCTGTGGTCGGTCAGGCAGAAGCCAGTTTGGTTAAGATATTGGTCTGTTTTTAAGAATAACTCATGACCGCTGCTCCGAGTGTTAGGGGAGAGTTAGGGGAGGATTCGGAGAACTTTGTGCAGGTGAGAGATCCTGACTGGCCTGTCCACCTCCAGCTCTGCTGCTGGTGTCCCAAGACCAAGGGCTTCATCATGCGTCTCTTTAAAGCAACAGGTCGGGTGCCTTCCTCTCCACTCCTTACTCAACCTGTTTTGCCGGGACCCATAGCCGCAGGAAAATCAGCCTGGCACGGGGAAGAGAATGTGTTTCCTGGCGGGTCTTCGTCACTATGGAGTCCAGGCTGCAGTGAAGTTGCTCCCGTCTGGGTCTGCTCACCTGTCAGCCCTAGACCCTCTTCCCTGCACTCGGGTCTGGAGGAGGAACTGGCACAGGTCAGACTGCAGGTGCAACTCCCTGGCCCTAGCCTGGCTTCCTTTCCAAGGTGCGTGCCTCTTTTAGCCCGTTTGGAAAATAGCAAATGCTGATGTTCCAGTTACACAGTCTGGTGGTGGTGTTTTTTCCTTTGCATTTTGTATTGCTCCCTTAATTTGTCCTAGTTCCAGCAGCACTTTTTAAAAATGTATTATTTCCCCTAAAAGGCCTTATTTTCAAAAGAGCAAGGTGTTACAATGAACACTTGAAAGTATCTGCTCAAATGATTTCATTCTTCTTGAAGATGCCCGTAAGCTGTGTGGCGATTTTAGATTACTACAGAGCTCTGCTCTTCTTTAATGCACTTCGATTTGCAAGCAATGGGATTGTTTTGCGCCGAGTTGAACAGTTCACTAATATTGAAGATCATCCATTTTTTTATTACCTGAACTTAAGTAATCAGAGTTTTTGTAAAAGGCCCCCTGTAATTTTGCAAGGACTTGTTGCTTTGGAACTTTGCAGTGTTACATATATCATGTTGTGTTTTCCCTGCTCTCCCGAGAAGAGGCCTCCTCCACACCCGGATGTTACCGTTGGGGGGAGATGCTCCGGTGGCCCTTGGGAGGTGGGACCCCCGCCTGTGAAGCCAGACGTATGGACAGCAGCCTGTGAGCTCTGAGAAACCAGGAGGCTTGTGAGCTCCTGAGAAAGAACTCAGCCTAAAGACAAACCTGCTCTTTAAAGCCGCCCACGAGACTGTGCAGAAATAAAGCACTCGGCTCCATCCGCCTTCAAGGAAGAGAAAGCAGGGAGGAGTGCCTTCCAATGGAGAGCACGAACCTGTGCGCAGACCCACATCGAGGTCTCCAGGGCAGGCGTGCGTTTTAATGAGCGCCCCAGGCAGCATACTGGTTCTGCAGGTTTCTTTACTTAGCGGCTGTTCAGTGCCACACAGCGACCCCAGCTGTACACTCTCTAAATGCAGGTGGGAAGTTAAAAGGCCGTCAGTTCTTTAACCGGGTGGCTTTCTAGACAGCTTCCCCTTGACAGGAGAGCGTGTACCCGGCTCTCTACCTGTACAGATTCCCAGCCCAGGTAAGGCCCGGAGGCTGGGCAAGGACTTGGGCCCCGCATGCCGACTCCATATGCCCGGGGCGCCCTACCCAGGGACAGGCTGGGCTCTCGTCACACAACCCTTTCCCTTTTGTGCCCAATCCCTTACAGAAAAAAAAATGTGATTTTTTGACAACATGGGTTAATGGTTTTCAATATGTAATAGATCCTGAAGGCTTAAACTATACCCCTGGAGGATGATGTATTTATTTCCTAGAGCAGGGCTTTCCAACCCTTATTTATCTTTAACACAAACTCACACCCAGATGAGTGAGGTGTTTGCCTTTTGTTTTCTCCAAACAAAATAACAGAAATAATATAAAATTGTTATTTTAGTACAGAGCAGGCGCAAGGATCACTCTCCTAGAAAGTCAAAGACTTGTATCAGGAGCAGGCATTTTATTGAGACTTCTCATCAGTTCCTGCCTGAGGACCCCTCACACGGTCTCCATGACAGCTGAGGAATCCACACATAAAATGCACAGACGTGACGATGGTGGAGAGAGCACACAGTCAGTGGGTCTCAAAATCAAGGTGTTTTTATAATAAAGTTATACCAAAAGCACAGCAACAAACGAAGAATGGTTTATTAGACAAAATGAGAAACCCCCCAACACGTAACACCCCCGGCCCAGAGCCAGAGACTGTCGACACTTCAGGTTCACACTGAACACTGCCAACCATCCCCAGTCGCACCAGCGCCGTTCAGCGGAGGGCCCTCGCCCTCAAGAGCGGGTCTTCAGTCTCAGTGGTACCACAGGGAAATCGTACATGAGCACTGACTAGGCGAGGTTTTAAAACACACGTCAGGCTGCTTCACAGGCTGAGATGAACACATGGTCTTAAATAGTTCTTAGTACAACATCATGTTCTTAAGGAAACAAGAAGAAAGCAATCTCAACGGTTTAAAAAATTAGCACTATTTGAAGCAGCAGATAAAATGTATTCACCACCAGCCTGTACCGAGGAACTTGGCGTTGGCAAGATTTGTGGCTTAGGAGAGAAACCATGAGCAGGACTTCTCTATAAAACCTTCGCGGCACTTGACCACACTCTCGTTTCTTAACAAATCCTCCTGTTCCTCAATGGAAACAGATGTCTATCCATCAAGAAAGAAGAAGAAGGTGAGCGCAGGTTTTACGGGAAGGAGATGAGATTCTTGTTTAAAATACTGGGATGCCAACCCACATGGGTGTCATGTCCGGAGACCGCTGTCAGCATCTGCAGGTGTTTGCCAGAGGAGACCAGCTGCAGGGTGAGCCAGGGTCTTTGGTGGTGAGAAGCCTGCGGCAGCCTGTCCATCTGCTCCAGGAAGGCCCGGGCGGCAGGAGGTGAACCACAGGAAGGCACTTACCTAGGTCACCGGTAAGACAAGAGACCAATCCCGGTGTCATGCCAAGTCTCAGGAAAGTCAGCCATCCACTCTCCCAGCCCCTACAGGCCCCTTCCCCCGGATCCGTCTGTCCATCTGTCCGTCCAACAGACCCAACAGGGCTGCGGGAGCGTCAGGTCCTCCTGCTGGCGGGGGTGCCGTTCGCTCTCGACCGCTGCCGGTCGTATTTCACAGAAATGATAAGGAAAAGCAGGAGGGTGGCTCCTTGAATGGCCGCCAGAAGGAAAAAGTAGTAGTTCAAATAGCAGCCGTTGATGTTGCCTGGAGAGAAGGAAAGGGAAAAAAAACAGAGTTTAGAGAGACAGTTTACAAGATTTTATTTCTTTAACTTGGTTCCTACAAAGGTCAGGGTGACTTTTAAGTGTGGTCATTAAAAAAAAAAGAAAGAAAGAAAAAAGGACCCTATCCCTAACTCCAAGTACACAAGTGCCTTGCTCCCAGAGCCACCGTGACACCAGCCCCACCCTGGAGCCCCGTCGCCAGCCTCTCCTGCTCCACAGACAAGGAGCCCAACTGTCCCCGAGTCAGCTCTGGAAGCGGAGGGTCTTGGTATCCTGGGTCCAGAGTCTGTACATTTATCAAGACTGCGCAGCGGGCCAGGACACAGCCTGGACATCACGTCTCACAGGACTCCTGCACTCCCGCATTGTCACCCGACATTAGACACGCGCCAGCGTCCCCTTCACAGGCCAGGGCAGGTGGCTGAACACACAAGCTGCACGCTGTGGGAAGACACAAGTCTGCTTTTTAAATTTCTCCTTAAAAACGTCAGGCTTCAAGTCGATATACAAGCACCGTACTTTAACCAAAGAGCTGACATATTGAATGCCTGAGCACCACGCAGGCATCCTATGCACAAGGTTCCATTTAATTCCTGATAAACCCTGAGGAGGCAGAGGTTACGGCCAGGGACCTCAGAGCTCAACCAGACAGGCTCAAAGCCAGTGTCATGGTCTCTGGGCCCAGTTTCCTCATTTGTAAGATGTGACATGGTGGCCAGCTCCCCACCCCACCCCCAGCCTGGGACAGAGCTGCCGTGAGAAGCACCCAGGGCCTCTTACAGAGCCCAGGGCCTCGGACCAGCTCCTCAGCAGAACCCCCGTCAGGACCCCCAGTCTTCATGGAGGTCTGGGGTACCTGGTCTGCACACCAGTTGTCTCTCCATGGAGAACCGAGGTTTCACAGCACCACCCACCACGGCCCCTTGGCATGGAGACGCAGGGCTGCGGGTGAGGGACCACGCCACCCCAGCTCCCTGCAGACGGCTGTCCCCACAGGCCACAGGTGGCCTACCGCTTACACTGCCTGTCACCAGCTGAAAAGGGCCTGGCACACGCTCGAGAGAGGGGCGGGAGACGCGTCCACCAGCCACGCGTCCAGAGGACGCCGCCGCTGGGCTTCATAAGCATTTCCCCTTTGTTTACTTAGAACACCAGACTTCCTTCCCTCTGATGGTCTCCGTCAGGCTGGGTTATTCTAGAACTTCCTTTTTCTATCTGAACGTACTCTCATTAAAATTAGACGTTCAACACTGCTTTTATTAAACAGAATGAACGAATAGATACAATACACGTGTTTGCGTAATAATCATTCACATGTTTTTAAAGAATTCTCACTCAGGTTGTAGAAGACAACGATTTCCTATGTTTACTGCTTTGAGAAGAAATCCAGTAATACCTAGAATTTCTACTAGACTGTGCTTTTTATTCAACAGGCACTTAAAAGCCGTGGTTTGGTCCTTCCTGACTGTGGGGCTCCGCCCTGGACAGAGACCCCCGCTCCTGGAGTCTGCTGTGCCCGCACCCACCGTGGCACTGCTGGGTGGTGCCGAAGTGCCGACCCTGAAACATTCTTCTCCCCAAATGACACAAGCGATTGAAACTAGCAAAGGGGAAAGCCGGCAGGCCGCGCGGACTGCACACGGTGTTTTCCCCGTCAGGGCGAGTCTCAGCCTGGCGTTAGGAAGGGTGTTCAGAACTGGGTCCACCACCTAAAAGCTATCACAATCAGCCTTCGCTTTCTTGGGCCTCTTATCAGACAGAAGGTAACTGCATATGAAGGTGGTAAATTCTGGGTGTTCTTTATTTGATAAGACAGACTCCTGGGCCCCAAGGAACAAGCTCACGTGTCACCAAACACATGCACGAAAACATTCCCAGCTGCTCTATTCATGACAGCCTCCAACTGGGGACGCCTGCAACACCCATGCACAGCACAGCAGATAAATGAACTGTGACTTATTCGTACAACAGATCCTCCACAGAAATAACAAAAGAACCGGTTACTGGGGACGACTCAGAGAACTCAGCGCTGAGGAAAGACGGCCGCAGCAGATGCCTGGGAGGCGACAGGACTCAGCGGGCTGACATCACAGCAATTCATCCTGCCGGGGCCTGGGGGCTTAACTCAGCAAGGACAGGAGGAAGGCTTCTGTCCTGCACTTGGGTCGGGATGAAGAGCACACCAGCCGTGCGCTTCAAGACCAGCGCCCCTCACAGCACAGATGAGGTTCCCAATCTAAATACAACAAGGACAAGCAGGCTGGCAGAGGACGGGGAGAGAAGGACAGAGGGAGGGGAGACTCAGACCACAGCCAGGGACCCGACAGGGAGCGATCACACGTCGGTCGGGAAGCACGGAGCCAGCACCCACCGCCACCTGAGCCCGGGCAGAGCAGGGAGGAGCAGGGAGAATAGAGAAGCTGGCCTGCTGCTCCTCCTCCAGAAGAATCTAGCACGGCTTGGGGGTGGGAGTGGGGTGTCCCCGGTCCCACCCTGTCCCCCAATCACCGCCCCCAACAGCCCCTGCCCCTAACCGAGAGGGAGCCCTGCCATGTCCTCCTACATCACCGTCATCTCACCCAGCACCCGGGGCTCCAGGCAGAAGGGGTGCAAGCTCTCTGCACTAGAAGGAAAGAGGGGAGACCACCTGCGGTCCAGATGGGGTGGCCAATCCAGGACACACGACCCGGTGCCTCCCTCTCGTGGAAATAATATCAACACACAGGACCCAGGTCCAGCACCGGTACCTGTGTGCATCAATACTGGAGGTGACCCTCACAGCTACAAGTATTAAAAATACCTGTCAGAAGGAAAGGATGGATGACAGGCAAACTACAAGTTATTAAATTAGTAGTGGGGGGATTAAATCACTGGAAAGCAATAAGGATGACCAAAGCCAATCAATCCTTTATGATACATTTAAAAATGAAACAAAAACTAAGAAACAGCGTCGACATCTGAAGAACTGTGGAGGTTTGCTCTCTGTAACAAGTCTCTGAAGGAGGTCTGTTCCAATGACACTAGGAACCCAGGAGAACTCTCAGAACCCCTGTGTAACTGGAGCTTACCCTCCGGAAGGGGGACAGCCCCTCCTCACCACAACCAGGCTGGGCCTGCCCGCCACCCCAGTCCCAGCACTCACAGCTGGACCACATCAGCCACGGTGCCCAGGGCGTACTGGGGGCTCCGGTTCCTGTTACGCGTCAGGGCTTCTCGGGCCTAAACGCTCAGCTCAGGACAGGAAGTTTAACTGAATCATGGGAGGGCTTTTGGAATTCTGCCATTTCTAGAGAACAGTCTCTAAGCTTTCATCAGGTTCCCAAGGGGATTTACAACCTAAAAGTACCAGGGGACAACAAATACCACACAACTATGCAAGGAAAAGCAACCAAAAGCAGTGGTGGTTTTTACTGGTAAAACATACAGAAGGAAGATGCCTCCATCTCCAGGTCCACCTACAGGCGACGTCAATCTACAAACAGCAGAGCTCTTGTCTCTCGCCAGTGATTTTGCTCAAGATGCCACCTACTGGCAGTGGCTGTAAAACCCCATTATGACTGATCACGAGTCACATTTGTTTTTAAAAAAGCAACTTAACTATGTTTTTTTTTTAATTGCAAGAAATTAAAAGGTACTGTCAGGGAAAGAAAATACGAAACTAAGATAAATGAAGGGAAATTTGTGATACAGATTTTATCTGTCTCCTAATAAAATACAGTGCTGGACCTGACTGTACCTGAGAAAGAAGGCAGTGTACCCATCACAGATATGGGAATAAATAGCGGCCACTCAGCCGCTGGTGGCGGGTGTGGCCAAGGCTGACCCGGGCAAGAAAGGTACACCTGTTTCCAGGAGATCATGTGTGACATGGGTAAACGGGGTGAGGTGGGTGGTCTGACGCAGCTCGGGGAGCAGGGTGGGGGCTCCTGGCCCAGCCCAGAGACACTGATCGTGTCCAGTCCCAGGTGCCCCACGTGACCCAAGGGCTGGGGCTCTGGATGCTGGTCACTGCTGATGGGGTGGGCAGGGGTGGGGTGGTCCTTACCGAAGTCTGTGTGGCTGCTCATCCACCCGATGGCCTTCAGGGACACCAACGCCAACAGTCCTGAGCCCACAAAGGACCCGACGCCAGAGAAGAAGAAGAACAAGCCCATGATGGCGCTCTGCATGGACTTGGGGGCAGCCGAGTATGCGAATTCCAGGCCTGGGGGGGCGGGGAATGGTGGGTGTTTTTGGAGAGAACATAGCACTGCCTCCGCACAGCTGCCCTCGGGGACCTGGGACTCTGGGCACGGTCCCTCCCTGCTCTGAGACAGCTCCCGGCTGGCTGCTCATCTCCCACCACAGCTCCTGGAAATCCCAAGAGGTGGTGGTGACCCCCACCCTCACATCAGAGGGCAGCATTTGACTTGCCAGCTCTTGGAATTTCCAGTTCCTCATGGAAAGAAGTTGAAGAAGCCAAATTTCCTACATTCTTAACTGATGTGAGTTTGCAAATGAACTAGTGACACTAAAATGGGGAAATCTACTCAGGAATTCTACCTGAAAGGCAAGGTGTTTGAGAACAGTTTTGGCAGGCACAGCTATAACCCAGTTCCTACCATGATAACCAGACATGGAGATGTGCGCTGGGCTCTAAAGGAAGGGCCGATCCCTTTGATTTATTCCCTCCCAAGTTCGTGAGCCAATTCCACGTGAGCACAGGGGGAGAGGAGGAGAGGGGAAAACCAGCGCCCGCAGCCCGGCCAGCTCTGGTTATCACTCATTCTCTCCTTCCGTCACTCCCAGCAGTGAGAAACAGGCCCACACAGAATTCACTGTCCACATGCCACCACGGGATCTCACCAATAGGGAGGAGAGGCCTGTGAGAACATGCTTCATAAATGAGGTTTCTCCCTTACACATCTAAAGGCAGACACTGCGAGTCGGGCAGTGAGGGACCCCGAGGCCTGGCCACGGCAGGACTGCAGGGCTAGGGAGCCAGTGCCCAGGCCAGGAAGCCGAACCCCCGACCCCCGAAATGGGTTCTCCTTTCCCGTCTCCTGTGGAAGCTCTACAGCAGGTGAATTTCATGTTGATGTTTTGGGAATCCTACTTTTACACCAAGAAAGGGGAGCCTCAGCCATAACATCACGCTTTCCTCACCGATTCATGTTCTGAACCACACCTGCCCACCAACACCCACCGTGCACTGTGCGGTTCTCTCAACACAGCCTAACAAGGGAGGAAACAGCACGGCCTTAATTGCGCAGTGAGGGGACTGGACACAGATGCCCCTGGCAGGAAACCTCACCTGCGATGCTGGCGAATATCTCACTGACGCCGATCAGCACGTACTGCGGGACCTGCCACCAGATGGGCAAGTCCGCGGCGTAGTACACAACGTTCCCAATGGTCTGGTTGATGGTCTTCTCCTTCACGAGGTCCAGCCTCTTGCTTTCCAAAATCCCTACAATTCATAAGTAGCTTATGAGTATTTATTCATTAACATTTGTAATGAAACTGAAAAACCAGATCCTTGGGACAAGATGCCTGTCGGTGATTCTGAGAAACGCATGAAAGGTTAACACCAGATAACACATATCCCCCCAAACTCCCGAGCTCAGGAATTTCCCTTTCCCCTTTCAGCTTCCCAGGTAGGTCACTGAAAAACAGAGGTCATGTCATCCGTATCTCACATGGGTGTTCTTCAGTGTCTTATAAAACCAGTGTTCAGCATGCTTAACACAATTCTCAAAGCTCTGGATCGCTCACCTAAACGCCTTTTGCTTCCTTCAAAATGAGGAGCATGAGAAAGCTACACTGTCCTGCAATAAAAAGATTAATCACACTATTTACTTACCAGAAGGTAATAAATCTGGAGATGCTTTTCCCCTCAATGTAACAGATTTACGCTGATTCACTGACTGATCATCATGACTACAATGACTACCACTATTACTACTAAAGCCAGTTTGCCCATGCAGATGGGCTCAACCTTATCAACAAACTACAGTAGTCCCCCCTCATCTGTGGGGGATACGTTCCAAGACCCCAGTGGATGCCTGAAACTGAGAACAGTTCTATATCCTATATATATATATACACACATACTAATTTTTCCCTGCCCACACAAACCTCTGATAAAATTTAACTTATAAATCCAGCACAGTAAGAGGTTAACAACAGTAACTAAGAATATAACAGAACAATGATAACAACCCACTGTAATAAAAGTTATGTGAAGTTGGTGGTCTCCCTAAGTATCTCATTGTATTGTACGTATTTCCAGACTGTGGTTGATCCTGGGGTCACAGAAACCATGGAAACCACAGCCAGGGATGAGGGGGTGACTGCAAACTGGGCCTCACGCGCCACCAGCGGCCTTCTGCCCTCAGCGGCACCAAGGACTCCCTAGGTTATCAGTCATCTGTCAGGTGGGACAGAAGGACATGGGAAAATGAGCAAGATCATGGGAAAATAGCTACTCTACAAAAAAAAAAATAAATAAACAGATCGAAATGAAGTTTAAAACAACAACCTGTAGGACCAAGTTCTTAGAGTAAAGATTTTTTTAAGTAATTCTAGTTGCAAATGAAATAATGGACTCTAATAGCTAATGTATATGTAATAATTATGTGTTTAAAACAGTATGCGGAAGGACAGGAGTCTGGGTAGAGGGATAGTGGAATATATACACATAAGGGGCTTCCGTGGTGACTCAAGTGGTAAAGAAACCTGCCGATGCAGGAGATGTGGGTTCAATCCCTGGGTCGGGAGGATCCCCTGGAGAAGGAAATGGCAACCCACTCCAGCATTCTTGCCTGGGAAAGCCCATGAACAAGGAGCCTGGTGGGCTGCAGTCCATGGGGTCACAAAGAGTCAGACGTGACTGAGACACTGAACAACAAATATATATATATGTCCCTTTTCAGATCTGAGCATGAGAAAGGACCAGGATTTGATGGACAGAGTCAAAGAATCTGCCCCCACACCACATCTCAAATATCCACAGAGAAAACACAGCAAAGGCCCAAAAGCAGGTGAGACAGCCTAGCTCATTTCCCCGCAGAAAGCCCGCGTCTCCTCCCTGAAAGGCGGCGGAGGCAGACCTCAGCGCTCACAGCTGTCCTGTGACAGGGAACAGGAGCAGAGCATGTGTGCGGAGCGCCTGCTGCTCTGCCAAGGGGAACATGAGGCTCAGCCCAGCATTTACCTCAGGAAACCGGTGGCGGCATTAAGGGCCGTGCCCAAAAACAGCAGCTCTGCCCCCTGGCAGGGCAGCGGGCAGCACCAATGGGCCCGCAGCGTTATCCTGGTAGGAGCGCCTTCAAACCAAGGCTAGAGCACTGCGGGCTTCCTCTGGGTCAGCTGAGCTGGCCCTGGGCCGCTGCCCTCAGACTGCAGGATCACCGCACTGCACTGGCCACCCACCCTCTAGCTTGGAAGGGTTAGATTCAAGTGCAGAGCGAGGGAAGAACTCACTCAGCCTGGTTCAGGGGAATAAACGCTGAGGCTGGGTAAGATGCGCGCCCTTCACAGGAAAGGCAAGGGGGCGTGAAGACCACGCCGAGTGTGCCTGCGTGTTTACGGCGGGCAGGTCCTGGTGGGGACAACACACGGATTTAGGACCAGGATGAGAAAAGATACTGCTGACTTCTGGCAAGCTGGCAGAGAACAGGAGTAAGCTGTAGGACAGGCGTCATCAGTTAGGGAAACACAGGCTCCTGTGGAGGCTGAGGGTGGAAGGTAACAGCAACCAAGGGGCCCCTAAACAAACAAGGACCACACCCTAAGGGACAAGAGCAGGAGAAGTCACAGAGCGCCTCTCTGGTGGGGCCGGGGCAGGAGGGAAGGTGTGGCGTGGCTGACACTGCGGAGACAGGGGAGGAGCAGGGGCCTGAGAGGGGCCGACGGAAGCAGAGCGGTCCTGCGGGGTCCGGGCAGGCCGGCCCCTGGGGCGCCACAGAGCTCGTGACGGAAGAGACAAGCGCGGGAACAAACCAGCATAGAGACAGAAGCTGGGAGAACCAGGACAGAAGGAAGAGGCGCAAATTCTTCACTAACCACACTAACTCACATCAGGTCAAACACAAGAGAAAACCCAACGCTGTGGGTGAGGCGGGAATGGAGAGCGGCAGCAGCAACGGTCGGGTAGGAGGAGGGGCAGGCAGTCACCAGGAGGAAGGCGTGACGACCGCAACACAGGGCAGGAAGGGGGCATCCAGGAAACACGCCGAGGGGCAGGAAAGGCCCCCGTGCCCACCCGGCCCCGCGACGCCAGCTCATCCACACTCAACACCAGCTGCAGAGAAACAACGTGGAGCAAGAGCACCGACCGGGGGAGCTGGCCGGGCTCTCGCTGGGCCTGAGAGCTCCCGTGTGCAGCCTCCCCACTCAGCGCCACTCCCCCATAAACCTTTATGGGCAAAATACCATCACAGGCTGCAAGTGCAGCGAGAACCTGAGGCACACCAGCCCTGCTGGTCATCAGAGCAAGCGGACGGAAAGGATAAGGCTTTGCTTTGGCTTCCCAGGTAGCGCCAGTGGTAAATAATCCGCTTGCCAATGCAGGAGACACAAGAGATGCAGTTTCAATTCCTGGGTCAGGAATATCCCCTAGAGGAGGAAATGGCATCCCACTCCAGTATCCTTGCCTGAAGATCCCATGGAGCCTGGCTATAGTCCACAGGGTCACAAAGAGTCAGACACGACTGAAATGACTTAGCACGTAGCACGTGCTAGAAGTTTAGTGAGAATCTGAGGCACATGAGCCCTGCTGGTCCTCGTCAGAGCAAGCAGAAGGAAAGATACGGCTTTGTTTGGTGACGGGTTGCTAACTGGAGGAGACCCAGGGCAGACCCAAGTCCTGTACTTTAGGGACACTATCATCTGTGCCCCCTCAGGGCTGAGTTCTAACAGATTCATGCGACCTAAGAGAGAACAGTGCCGCTCCAAGGGCACTGTCCCCGGACTGGACAGTGCCTCCCATTCACCAGACCCCTCATAGACCATCGCATCCCTGGACCCACATCACCCCGTGACCCCAGGCCCCGGGCAGCACTGGACTCCAGGACTCCTGCTACACGGGATCTGAACTAACGCAGCTGACAGCACTACAGCCATCTGCTATCCTATGCAGCGCCCCACAAACATTTTTAGAAAGTAATACTGGCCAAAAAGGAAGCCCTGAAATGCATGATACAGGAATTATAAAGCCATGATCTCTCTCAACTCAACTAAAGCTTTCTTGGTAGCAAATGGACAAACAACAGCATCAACTATTATGAAATGAAAAAAGTTCTCTAAAAGTACTCTTGGATCAAAAAGAAAATAAAAACCACAGTTTCAATATTCTCCTGGGGGAAAAAAAGAAACCATTACAACAAACCAAAGTGCAACAGACCTTGATAGAAAGCCAGTAACAGGCCAATTAAAAGAATAACATGGTCTTTACTGTTAAGTGGGAATGAATAAATGGAAGCGAAGAATTTAACTCAAGCAATGAGAAAAAGAAATCAACAAAACACACTGAAGGTAATAAAAGTTAATATCTTAATTATTCATCAAGAAAACATAAAAACAATCAAATGATAAATTCAAGAGATACATCTAAGGAAAAATCGTAAAATACAGTTTTGGCCAATCTAATAAAAAAGAACACATAAAAAAGTGAAACTAGAAAAGAGGAAGGAAATGCAACAGATTTATTTAAATGACCATTTTTATCTCCTTTCAATTTCTCTAACTCAATATATTTAGGGACACTAAAAGATAAAAAGCTTAAGTGATTCAACAAAAAACAACATCTGTACAAAACTGAGGAAAAGGTGGGAAAATGATCATATTTCCTTTCAGAGAAGTGATGCACCCTTGTAATTTTCTAGGTAAAGACTTGGAAGTTCCTGGGAGCAGAAGGAAATTTCTCATCCTGTTAAACACACCCCGCCTCCAGAAACAGGGCATTTACCAACCCTTTAGTGAAGCTGTGCGACCCGGACACCAAACCAGATTGCTGTTGGCTAGACAGGGATGCACAGTCACCCAGCAAAACAGCAGCAGATTCCAATCAGACCATCAGGGCCAGCCCTTTTAACAAACAGGGTTTATTTATTTCAACAGTTAAACACCAGAGGTTAAAATAAATAAAAATATGAGCTGCCAAAGGTTGGGGGAGGCGGGGAGGGCATGTCATCCTCCTGAAAACCAACATAAGATATTTGAGAAAAACTCAACATTCATTTCTGCCAAAAATACTCAGTAAGCTTGAAATAAAGTTTAGATATTTAACATCATCATAAACACCTATTTCAAGGTGTTTCAACGCTCAAGGAGGTGAGCGTGAACCTTGAACAGTGAGCAGCTGAAGGCACTCCCATCAAAGTCTGGGATAAATGGAGGGAGTCTAGGACTTCCTTTGGGGGGATTCGAGAAGGAAAGTAATTTCACTGGGCAAGGCAACCCACTCCAGGATTCTTGCCTGGAGAATCCCATGGACAGAGGAGGCTGGCTACAGTCCACGGGGTTGCACCGAGTCAGACACGACAGAAGTGACTTAGCACACATAGACGCATGATGGTAACAGTGAGAACTAGAACCCTGAATACCCAACAACAAAGGACTGCAGATGAATGTTTGACACAGAAGGGTACTTTTTTTTTTTTAATTTATTTATTTATTTATTTTTATCACAACCATAGTGTATCTTTTTAGAAGGGTACTTTAGTTTTGTTTTTAATAGCAGGTGACAAAGGAAGTACACACACACACATCACATCATATATAATTTTTCCCATGCACTTGCAGGCTGACAGCAGAAGACATCCTTGGGTGGAATTATGAGTGCTTAAATCTGTGTGAGAGAGACATACAGACAGAGGCAAGAAGGAGAAATGGGGGGAGATGGTTCATCTGTGTTTGGTGGGTTTTTTCCCTACCTGCCTACAGTTAACAAGTGTTTCTTTATACCTTTAAGGGTTTCTTAGGTTTAGTTTTTAAATCAGGCTCAAATCATTGTACACAACAGCCTTTCATTTCTGCAGAAACACACAAAGTGTATGTGTATGTACACACAGATACACAAACAAAGTCTGACACACACCATCACAGCAGTGAGCATCTCTGGGGAAGTTACAGCTGATCTTTATTTTCTTCTTTATGTTTCTAAGGTTTCCTTTTCTCCAGTGAGCATCTATTATGTAAGTTAAGAACACATACAATTTTGAAGGGGAAAAGAAACCTAACAAACTAGCACTCTTCTTTTTTCCTCAAGCAGAATGGGAGAAAACCTGTTAGCTGTGCCTAAGAAACTTTAAAGAAAGAACTGTTTCCAGCAGGGATGGTACTAAACAGAAGATTCTGATTTATTATGGACGAACATAGAAAGTTAAAAGGCAAAATCATCTCTTTTCTATTAAAATGTTGGTCTGCTCTCATGACTCCTGGTTTCCATTCAAAGCTCATTAATGTCCCAGTTAAATAATATTCACTAGAGCTGGAAATGAAATGGCATGAAACACCAGTCACTGATTATATTAATAAACTGTGCCTAAGTCAAGTTATGAGACATTTAAGCTCTGTGAATCAGTGATGGTTAAGTTCCTTCCTAATACCTGGTCACTCAGCAAAGAAAGCCTCTTTAGACCGTCAGCACTGGAGGCGTTTTCCGTGTCTAAGCACGTGATTTGGATGCTGACACTCAGGGCGGCTGTGGTCACACAGGTGCCTGCGGCCACCTGATGGCAGCCCGACCCTGCTGAGCAGGAAGTGAGCTGCTGGCACTGCTTGTGCTTTTAAAAGGCAGCACTGGGACTCCTCATGGTCCAGTGGTTGAGACTTTGCACTCCCAACACAGTGGGCCCAGGTTTGACCCCTGACTGGGGAACTAGATTCCACATGCCACAACTAAAGATCAGAAAGACAGAGAGAAAGAAGGAAAAAAAGGAAGAAAGAAATGGCAGCACTGCCCGCCCAACAGGCTCCTGTCTGCCATCATTTCCTACATAAACAGGCACAGAAACCACAGGGAGGGATGACCCCAGGGTTCTCAGGGCACCCAAAGAATCTACTCAGCCATAAATGAAACTGAAAGAGAAGATGGTGGATTAAAGGAACCAAACCCAGAGTCTGCTAGATGATGCCTGGGAAACTAGCGATCTCTCCTTTCCCACAGGCAGCTGACAAGGATATCTTTCCATGGCGACTGGCTGGCTGGGGTACAGAGGGGGGTCTGCCATCCAGGAAGAGAAGAGGTGCTGAGGCTGAAGCCGGGCTCACGGCAAGTGCTCAGGACACCCGCGCCCCGCCCCACCAGCACGACCGCTCTGCTCCAGGGCGCGCTGCCCACCGCCAACTCTGCCTCAGGAAACCTCCCACCAGAGCCCTGCTGTGACCCAGCTCCTGTTCGCTCAGGCTTACGTGCCCACCTGCACAGAACTGGAAGGGAAATGGGTCACATGGCCAGCACATGGCAGGAACTTCATCCAGAGATGACCTCCCTTTAATCACCTATTTCATTAAGAAAGAAATGTAATTGTCCTCTACGATGTCCCAGCGTCTAGAATATAGATTTCTTAAGCCTAGAGACTCATTTCCGTAAATCTGTTAAGTACTGTATCAATATGTTCACCTGGGTGACAGCGGATGGAGGCTGCAGTGAAGCCTTGTCAGAGAATATTAAATTCCACCTCAGCAGTGCTTAACATTAAATTCCTCATAATGGAGATGATATATAGGTGATTCAGGAATATCAGCTTTTCTTGTCTTGTTATATAACCAAGCTATTTTACGGTTCAATAATTTTCAAATATTAATGAAGGAAGAGTGCCAAAGCAAGGTGAGAAAGTCAGAAACGCCTCAGCCTTATTGGCACAAGATAGTTCAGCTTATACTTCAGAATCTAAGAATTATGAACTCAGAACGGAGCCCCCAATAGGTGTTAGAATACCTCAGCATTAGTTCTTAACTGCCTTCTTTTTGTTCTGGGGGATGGAGCCTGGTTCCAAAGCTGTATTTGGTTTTTAAAAAATAACAAAACTTTCTCTCCAGAAAAACACACATGAAATTTTACACAAAAGCGCAAAGGGCTCAGGGCATTTGACACTGATTAATGGACCTGACATTAAAAATCACAGTCTGAGGATTATTTAACACCTTTAATTTATAAAATTTCCTCTATCTAGCAATTATGAGTGGTCTAAAATCTAAATCAGTAGGAGACAATACGTCTCCCTTGATTCAACCCAAAAGTCATCTTCCAGAGCATTTCACTGGTTACAATTCTTCAGGGAAAAAAAATAAGGACTCGCTGGTGGTCAGGTGGCTAAGACTCCAAGTTCCCAATACAGGAGGCCCAGGTTTGATCCCTAGTCAGGGAACTAGAATCCCATGCTGGAACTAAGAGTTCACACACCACAACCAAAAAGCTCCCACAGCCAAATAAAGAAAATAAATATCTTAAAAAACCTAAAAGAGCAAATCCTTAGAGAAAGCATCTTAAACTCCATATAACAAAAAATGAACACCACTCCAGGTTAATAAAATAATCCTTATATGTTCTTTGAAGTACATACACTTCTTGAAGAACCCGAGTGGCTACCATATCCCGAATCACCCACAATGGAAAGCAGGCGGGAGCAGAAACGGAGCCGGCTTCTCACCTGCGGCGAAAGCTGAGCACATCACGAAGAACATCCCCACGGCGATCCTTTTCAAGGATGATGGGAGCAGGCCGTTTCGTTTCAAGATGGGATCGACTAGTTTATCTTTCAGGGGAATTAGCAGGAGGATGAGCACAGCATCAAACATGGTCAGCCAGGCTGCCGGAAACTAGAATTTGGAGATGCAGAAGACACGGGCTTATTTTTCTACAGTGCCAGCAGTTGCTTGCTTGACAACTAACGTCTAAATGGGAAAAGCTTACTTCAAAAATAGTTCATTTGTATAAATATGACCTCCCAGGAAAATAGTCTGTCTCAAGACACTGGATCTGAGGAAAGGCTTTCATTTCTAAAGGGATGTGATTTGGGTTTTCTGTGCTTTCTGGGGGGAAGAAGAATCAGGTCAGATATTCATGCTTAACTGACAGTAGCAACTTAGTATGGGCTTGCCAGATGGCTCAGTGGTAAAGAATCTGCCTGCCAAGCAGGAAACGCGGGTTCAATCCCTGGATCGAGATGATCCCCTGGAGAAGGAAACTGCAACCCACTCCCGTATTCTGGCCTGGAAAGAGCCTGGCAGGCAACAGTCCATGGGGTTGCAAGAGTTGGGACATGATTTAGTGACTAAATAACCACCACAAAGTCAATTTAATCTAGTAAAGGACATAACCAATGGAAAGACAGTTACAGAAGTGAGTAAAAATTCCATTTCAATAGGAACATGTTTAGTTCAAGCTACCTATGTCATTTACAAAGCATTTGTGATTGACAGGAGAAATTCATTTGTTACGTAAACCCCCAATGACAATTTTCACATCATTTCAATTGTTCTCACCGTATGAGGATTGGTTGTAATACTGGAAATTTCTGGAATCTTCAAATGAAGACTCTGTAAAACATACGTCGTCTGCATCTGGGTGTAAAAAGCAGTGTCATTACATGTGCACAGCTGTCAGACCTGCAGCGAGCCACCCCTCCCCCAGACTACTCTGTGATGAGACTTGCAAAGGTCAGGTTAGAAAACAGGCAGGTCAATCTCTTGGTCACCATAAAAGTCGTCTGGAGATGAACTTTGGAAAAGAAGTAATGACTACCCCAGTGAGAAATCAAATTAAAAGGTGGAGCCTGGAAAAACAGAGGTATGCCCATTCTTAGCTTCATTTTTAAAAAGATTTTTCAAAACATTTAAGTCCACAAAAATGAGTCCGTAACTAACAGCAAGATTCCAAGATCCTGGAGACTTATGGCAAAGAAAGCAGGGAACCCAGGCACTTGAGTGCTGGGGCAGAGTTCACGGTGGGGGGGAGAGAGGAAATGAGACCTGAATATAAAACTCACTTGAAAATACACTGTCCAGTAAGGTATCAAAGCCAAGAAAACGGGGACAATCTTGACAAGAGCTTTCACATCTTCCACTTTATCTTCTGGGAATGGCCCTCCTCGAGACATCTTACATGAATCAAACAGACTGTGTTTAGAAGATTGCTGAAAGACTCCAATGCCTTCACTTTGGGAAATAAAATGAAGGAATTAGTTTTCTTCCACTCCCAGAAATCAGTTATTTGGTAACAAATTAGGTTTGGGGATAGGAAATGAGCTCGCTGCACTCAATCTGCTCAAACCCCCTTCCGCTACCTACTAACTGTCCCCCACCCAATATGGCCACCCAGATTACTCCTCAGCATGGGGAGACGTCCAGAAACGGCAGATGGTAGCACTTCCTAGCCAGATGCAACGCTGGCCGCCGTCACGGTGTGATCACCCAGCGCTGTCTGGAAGGTGGCCGACCTCATCCCCAGCTTTGTCACACTGGCCACTGGTCCTGTGCTGTGGAGGAAGCCGGCCGCTTCATCTGAAGCTGGTGACACCTACATCAGCTACATCACCGGGTGAGCATTTGAAAAGACGACTGTCCTGGATTGTTTGGACCTTAAATTAGGTTATCTATCAAATGTCAAGAGTCGATGACCAACACTAAACTCTTACAAAACCGAGCTGGTTTAACTGTATTGCAGTCACACTGGTGTGACTGGGAGGGAGGGCTCTGTTACAGCAAAGAAGACATCAGCTCTTCACTTAAGGACGAGCCGAGATGGGGCAGGGGTGATGCTCCTGGTGATAACCTGACGGCATCACCGGGGGGAAGATGACACCGAGTGCCCACTAGTGGGCCCTGACCGCCACCCTATCAGGCACCAGGACACTCATACTGCACCGCCCCGCCCCCCCCCCCCCCGCCACGCGGAGGAGGAAGTCAGGGCACAGAGGGTACGAAATGTGCCCAGGGCAGCACACCCAGAGCACGGGCCGGGATTGGACCCCAAGCGGTCCTGGCTGTAGGACCTGAGGTCCCCATCACTGGAGGGCCACCTGTCCTTCTGCTGCCGCCCTCGGCCCGCCCCCCCCCCCCCAATGCTCGGGCCCGCTGGTCACAGTCCAGAGCTCTCGGCTGGCTCTGGCACCAGGAGGCCTTCCAGTCCTGGCTCTGGGGCTAGCAGCCCCGCCCACTCGCTCACCCTGGCCTGCCTTCCTACACTATTTATAACATGCACAGGTCCCAGGTCTCAGGGGCAACTCCAAGACCTTTCCCAACCCAAAACACTCTTAATGGAGAAACACGCTCTAAGGCCCTTTGTGATAAAATAGGGGGAAAAAAAAGTTTTAATTATACACCCTTCTCTAAAACCAGAAATAAATTACCATTAAGAATGCTTGCAATTCTGGGACTTGGATATAAATGGTAGCTGTCAGCTTTCTAGTTTATAAACTCCTGTCCCATTTGACTGAGTCATCAACTACTGTGAATAATTTTTGTCTTTTAACATTGACATTTTAAATCTGAACTGTCTTTTAACATTGACATTTTAAATCTGAACTTTCTGAGCAGGGAAAAACTGAAAACTATAAAATTTAAACCAAGTTGTGGACAGAAAAAGTAAATTCAACAGATATTTATTGAGCACCTACTATATGCCTCATTCTGTTTCTAACTGGGTGCTGAGTATACATGCATACATTAAAAAAAGATTCATCTCCTGTCCTTATGCAGCTGAGTCCGGTGGGGAAAAATACTCAGAAAAACACACTTAATGTGAAAACGCTAAATTCCAAGCATATTATTATTCATACTTTTACTTGAAAAAATTCATAACTTCTCCTTTTTTTTTTGGCCAAAGACGTAAAGTCCCTATAAACCTAACATAGATTCTATCAGTGATTACTACATCACACTGCCGACGCTTCTCTAAATATTCAAATGTCAAACAGCAAATTCACTTCACAGAGTCATGCACACAGGTTGGTGGCTATGCTTACGTTTTCATATCATTAAAGTATTTTAAAAACTATTTTAAGTCACTACACATCTAAAACTTTGCCCAGGTCACACACATTGTTAATGTTATTATTCTGTAACATACAAGGGTCCAACATGGAGCCACAAATCACGAACAACAAGGCACGCAGACCAGCGCTCCCCGAGCCCCTGGCCGAGGCTGCGTGTGCAGCTGTGCACATTCTCCCGGGAGGAGGAGCGGGAGGTGGGGCTGTCAGCACTCAGATCCTCAACTAGCAGAGGTTAAGTCTCTCAGAAAGGGTGTAGCATTGTTTCCACTCACCGATGAACTGAACTGACAGGCATGGATTTCATGTCTAAAACAGCAATAAAACATCCTCAAAACAGAGGCCTCCCCCCAAAAAAAAACCAAAACAGATACCCCCTAGAGCAGAAAGAAACTGGGACTGGGCCAGAAGAAATCAGCCCCGTAAATAACAGAATACTGGGTGATACTGTGCTTCCTTCGCTTCTAGAGCAGACATTCTGCAAAAGTATCCCCATCAGTGAGTTACCACTGACTGGCCTCTATCAGCTTACTAGGCCTCACAATGGTCCTATGAGAGGGGACCTCTCCAGCTGCACAAGAAGGAAGAGAAGTCTCTGCAAGGCCATTGACCTGCCCAAGATCAGAGAGCCCCAACCCGTGCATAAGGAGAGCACAGTCAAGAGAATTTGCCAGACCATCAACTTCTCTGCAAGTTGGTCCTCTTTGAATTGTGCCAAGGAAGACTTCAAAAACCAACATAAAGGGAAAATCGATTCCCAAGTCCCAACAGTCTTTACCACGCCCTTTGTGCATCAAAACTCTCATGTCTACAAAGCAACAGTGTCCTCCTGCACAGGTGTACCAGGCATCACCCAGAAAGACACTCTGAAACTTTAATGATACATTTTGCTAGTGGATATTTAATCTATAGGCTAAACATCTGGGATCTGAAACCACGCTTTCGCTGAATTAAAACGAGGCCCTGGTAAAGCACTACTGCCAGCTGGAGAGGCAGCGGGGCTTCAATCATTAAAAATTCTTCAGTGTGGTCCCACCAACAGCTGCTCTGAACTGTGAGTTTGAATGAACACTGAATGCACTCAGGAGCCTGTGGAGCCCCGCTGGGGGGCAGCCAAAGCAACCAGAGGCATTTAGCCTGGAGCCAAGGGGCGAGGCTGTGGGAGCTGTTCTGGTACAGCTTCAGATCTACCACGTGGGAGGAACACGAGACATCTGTGATGGCTCCAAAGACATAAATAGTATACAGGCAGACAAGCCACGAGGAGGCAGACAGACGCAGGTCAGTCTGTGGAACGTTCTTTCAACGGGGGCCCTCCTTGTGGAGGGGCAGGAGGCTCCCCAGGGCTGAGCACCCATCTCAATGCCCCTGTCTTGATCAAAATACTCCCCGAGAGGCTCAACTCCAAATGGTCCCGAGGACTTTTCTGGGGTGATGGACATACTCTACATTCTGACTATGGTTACCTGACAGAATAAATAATTCCCAGAATAGTACAGGTAAAAGGGAAGTCTTTTATTATATGTAATTTACGCGTCAATAAGTAACACCAAAAATTTCTGAGGTCTTTCTGCGAGCTAAGTTCTGGACTTCTCTTCACTACTCTGCAACTAGGGTGACCGACCTTCCACCAGAGCTCGCCCGGGACTTTTGGCTTTAAAACCTCAGGTCGTGGGCAGACAACGCTCCGCCTGGGAAGCCGCGTGTAAATGGGACGACGGCCTCACCCAGCTGCATCTTAGTTCTGCTACCCTGTCCTCAGACAGCGGCGGGCGTGACCACAGGAGCACTGCCCGCGCGACCTGCTCGGCTGCTGGCCCTGAGGTGGGAGGCAGCGGCTTACTGTTTAAGGAGCACAGCACGCATCTGCGCCTACAAACTAAGCAGCTGCGCGGTTTCTGAGCCAAAGGACTGTCACGGCCTTTTAAAATAAAGAGAACTGTAGCAAGTTCAATGCTGTCTCTTCGATGCCCTTGGCAAGCCTCTGTCTTTATCCTCTTTACATAGCTAAGCAGTCCGGGGCCTCCGTCTACATCAGCAGTGAGAGGAGGGCCAAAGTGCAGGTAAGAAATGAAAAAGCGCGAGCCGGGGAAGGAGGCAGGCCTCTGGCTCATCTTTAAGATGGAGACGGGACACCTCACTGCACACTCCTGGCGCTGCCGTGAGACATTTCAACTCCAGCCCGATGACCCCCCCGTCCAGCGGTGAGCATAGGACAGACAGACGCGAGCACTTTATTTTAGAGTGGTTAGTAAGTCATGTGGAACAGCCTGTGAGGAGAAAAAGCAGCCTACCCGCTAGGACTGTGCTCCCCGATGCGCTTCTGAGGGCGGCAGGAATAGACCAATATCCTGAACATGTCGGTGAAGGCACTGCCGTCGGGCGGCTTGGTGATGAAAAAGGTCTGGCCGCACAGGAAGACCACGAAAGCAACACCGATGCAGACAGCGGGGATGGCGTAGCCGGTGACAAAGCTCACGTTCTGCTGGATGTAGGCAATGCCCCCCAGTGAGACGATCGCTCCCAGATTAATGCTCCAATAAAACCAATTAAAAAATCTTCGCGTGGCTTCTGGACCCCGATCTTTAACCTAAAATAACATGGAAGAAAAAGATTTAAACCCATGTGATCACCTTCAAGGATGAAAAACATATATGATGCTTTTATATACATTGTTTTATGTATGTGTGTGTATGTGCATGCTCAGTTGTGTCCAATTTTTTGTAACCCCATCAACTGTAGCCTGCCAGAATCCCCTGTCCATGGGCTTCTCCAGGCAAGAATACTGGAGTGGGTTGCCATTTCCTCCCCAAGGGGATCGTCCCAACCCAGGGATCGAACCCAGGTCTCTTGCATCTCCTGCACTGGCAGAAGGTTCTTTACCATTAGCATTAAATGGGAAATCCACTTTATACACACACACACACACACACACATATATAGTAGTATGATAAATTGATACAACTTTCTATCAATTACTGTTGTCGTCATAATCTTTAAGAAATGCAGCACATGGGAATTCCCTGGTAGACCAGCGGTTAGGACCTGGTGCTTTCACTTCTGGGCCCCACGTTCAATTCCTGTTTGGGGAACTAAGATCCCACATGCCACGGCCAAAAAAAAAAGGGGGAAAAACAGTAGCATAATCAAATGGTATTTACAGATAAGCTCAAGGGTCCCTTGACAAAAAATGTGTTTTACACTTTCAATTACTACAGACTTCTTCAGTTCAATTCACTAGCTCAGTCGTGTCCGACTTTTTGCGACCCCATGAATCACAGCACACCGGGCCTCCCTGTCCATCACCAACTCCTGGAGTTTACTCAAACTCAAGCCCATCGAGTCAGTGATGCCATCCAGCCATCTCATCCTCTGTCGTCCCCTTCTCCTCCCGCCCCCAATCTCTCCCAGCATCAGGGTCTTTTCCAATGAGTCAACTCTTCGCAATAGGTGGCCAAAGTATTGGGAGTTTCAGCTTCAGCATCAGTCCTTCCAATGAACACCCAGGACTGATCTCCTTTAGGATGGACTGGTTGGATTTCCTTGCAGTCCAAGGGACTCTCAAGAGTCTTCTCCAACACCATAGTTCAAAAGCATCAATTTTTCAGCGCTCAGCTTTCCTCACAGTCCAACTCTCACATCCATACATACAGATTTCTTAAATATACTTAAATCCAAGAAATCCTAGAGCATTTCTCAAAGTAGCTCCCCATGGACCACGTGCTTTGTGAACGCCCGGAATGCTTTTTAAAAATACAGAGTCACAGGACCTATTATTATCCAGGACCAGCCACTCATCATCTCTGGGGTTGGAACCCAGAAGTCTGCGTTTTAAACAACTTTCCAGAGGACTTCTACTCAAAGCCATATAGCTCCAAGCCTTGATACATCTGGAACCAGGGGAAAATTAGAGAGTGCAACTAAAACTACGTGCTGTTTCCAGACCAGGAAGCCTCTCGGGGAATCAAGAGAAGTTCTGATAAGGACAGGATTCCTGAAAGGTTCAAAGATCACCGACTCCCTGAACGTAGACACACAGAAGAACCAGGTCACACAAGCTCGTGGTTTCCTCACGAGCTACCCAGTGGGGGCCTGTCCTGGCGTGGACAAGACGATCTGTGTGGGCTTGGGCGCCCCGGAACGTCCCTCCCTGAAGATGGCTTTTCACATCTACGTGACACCCCGAGAATGTGCTGGAGCCAGTCATTTCTAGCCAGTTCCATCTCATAAAATGTTTAAACAAACCTCCTGGTTTAAAGGCTGATGCTGGATTGTGTACAAAAACTGCCAGGTCTTGCTGTCTCGGAAACCTCTGTTGTCTTGTCCTTACATTACAGGCTATGAAAAGGTTGGACAATTTCTGGTCCAGTAACAGATCTGAATTCTGATCCACAGAGTACTCTAACAAAGGAGGTTCTCATTGGGGGCCTAAACAACCAGTTATGATGCACAAAAACCATCTTTTTGCAGCCATATTATGTGATATGACATTTTAACCTCTATTTCTTAAGATCAAAGTACAGGTGTAAATACAAAATCAGAATCATGTGCCCCTCCAAAAAATTTTAATCCAAAATGATTAAATATGCTGTTAAGTCACTTCAGTCGTGTCCGACTCTGTGCGACCCCATAGATGGCAGCCCACAGGCTCCTCCGTCCATGGGATTTTCCAGGCAAGAGTACTGGAGCAGGCTGCCATCACCTTCTCCTGATTAAATATGCTATGCGCAAGAGAGTCGGATACAACTTAATGACTAAACAGCAACATGGTGACAAGTAATATGCATTAAGTAATTATCTGGTAATCACTGTCTAAAACTGAAAATGAGTTTTAAACCTCACATTGTCAGGATGAGCTTAAACCCGACTCCCTTCCACGTCAAAAATGAACAGAGAGCCAAGAACAAATGATGGCAAGACTAATGAGTGAATAAATGATTTGTATGGAGGACGTCTTATGTTTCTAAGAAGGACAGCTCCCCCTGAGGACACAATGCATTTGTTTGTTTGTTTAGGCTGTCCCATGTGACTTGTGAAATCTTAGTTCTCCGACCAGGGGTTGAACCCATGTCCCTGCAGTAGAGGCGAGTCCTAACCACTGGAGTATCACGGAGGTCCCCATAATCCATTCAAATGTTACTAAAATGGACTCAAATATTCGTTATCTCCTGGGAACAAACCAGAGGGAAGAAAAAATTCTAAGCAGGCCAATGGCTACAGAGAAAATGCAACTAAAGATAAGAAAACAAGTAACTAGGGTGGGGGACAAAGTTTAACAGGGAAGAGGGCCAGTAAACAGAATATCGAAAATTAACACAGACAACTTATGTACTTACTGAAATACATCAGGGCCCTTCCCACTGTCTATAGAGGTGCTGCACACCTCCTGGTGAACTTGGCAATCAACTTATTTGAACTTCCAAGTGTAATGCACCCAAATTACTTTAAATAACCACATACCAGTAATTTTCTGGAACAAATGGGAAGCTGCCCTTGTAAACCGCAGATCACATGCTTCTGTGCTCTGGACTGACACCCTCCCTTCAAGTCGGTCACATTATATCACCATCTGTACCCTCGCCTCCCGCCCGACCAGATCAAGGCCAACAAGACCATCATGTGACTAGTCAAAAGACAGCACTGCTGCAACTCAAAGAGCAGCTGGAAGAACAGGATCCTGTGCAGTGAGTCAAACAGTAGGCTGATTTGGAAAAATTCCTTTAAACACACAAGGGCAACTTTTCTTTCCTCTAGGTGAAGTGTATCTTTGCTCTCTTGTAAAATAAGTTCTTTCAGTCTGCTGTTTCAAATACAGGATCCATCCATTAAGAATGATTGTGACCTCTGAGAAAGGTTAAGTACCGGGGGAAAGGTGGGGCTGACAGAATCCACATCAGCATTGCCCTTGGACTCTGTAGTGTAAGTCTTCTTTCCAAAGCCAGCCAAGGCCTCCTCCTCAGAGCTGCACAGCCTGACCCCATTCATCTCTCCCTCAGACCGTTTCGTAGAAGCCCTGTGTCACAAAGCCGTGAGTGATAGAGAAGCCTAAAAGGTACCTTCTGCGTACCACTCAGCCACAGAAAAGAATGAAATCATGCCTTGTGCAGCTACATGGACGGACCTGGAGATTATCACACTAAGTGAAGTCAGTCAGGCAGAGAAAGACAAATACTACGTGATACCACTTATATGTGGATAAATCAACTTATTTATAAAACAGAAACAGACTCACAGACATATAGAAAACAATCTTATGGCTACCACAGGGAAAAGTTGGGGGTGACATAAATTAGGGACTTGGGATTAACAGATACACACTGCTATATATAAGACAGATAAACAAGGTCCCACTGTATAGCACAGGGAACTATATTCAATACTTTGTAATAGACTATAGTGGAAAAGAAATGGAAAAAGGGTATGTATAAATGTATAACCAAATCACTTTGCTATATACCTGAAACACAACATTGTAAATCAATCATATTTCAATTAAACAAAAAAGTCCCTGGGAGCTCCCTGGTGGCCTAGTGGTGAGGACTCAGCAGTGTGCAGTGGCCCGGGTTCAGTCTCTGGTAAGACAACTGAGATCCAGCAAGCTGCTGGGCTCGGCCAAGATTTAAAACAAAAAAATCCTTAAAAATACAAATAGATTTCCTCAAACTCAGACAGGCCAGGAGATGTCAAACTAGCTCCTCCTGAAGAACAGATCACAGGCCTCATGCCTAGAGGGCAGGCTCCTGGCTGTACCTCCCTGCACCTGCGGGGGAGGGAGGGGAGACTTCTGAAATCCCCTTCAAAGACCAGCCAGCACCTGGCACAGAGCAAGCACTCCAGCTGAAGGGTACTAACATTTTCGTTTCCACTGAGATACAATTCTCACACTATAAATTCACCCTTTTGAAATGTACCACTCAGTGTTTTTCAGTCTTCACAGATGTCTAACCACTACACCACTGCTTTCCAATTCTACCTTCTCATCACACCAGCAAGAAACCTGATTCAGTTCACGGTGGCTTCCCCTCCCCCATTTCCTGACTCCCCAGTAACCACTCATCTCAAGTCTTTATTGATCTGTCTATTCTGGACATTTCATACAAATGGAATCCTATGATATGTGGTGTTTGGTGCCTTGCATCTTTCAGCGGCATGATGGTTTCAAGGTTCATCCACAATGAAGAAAGTACTTCATCTCTTTTCACCGTTGAAGCATATTCTGCCTATGTCCATCCATCAGTTGATGGCCATCTCCTTGCTGCTGCTGCTGTTTAGCTGCTAAGTGGTATCTGACTCTTGCGAACCCATGGACCGTAGCCCGCCAGGTTCCTCTGTCCACGGGATTTCCCAGAAACAATACTGGAGCGGGGTGCTGTTTCCTTCTCCAGGAAATCTTCCCAACCCAGGGTTCAAACCTGGGTCTCCTGCTTGGCAGGCAGATTGTTCTTAACTTAAAAAAAATTTTAAACATACAGAAAAGTTGGAAGAACAGTAAACCATACACACCTATAGCTTTCATCTACATCCTTAGTTCTTTTTCTGTACATATTCAAAATACTCTTTTGGCTGAACTATTAAGTTGCAGCATCGTATTTCACCCCAAAGATTTCATCATGACTCTCCTAAAAATAAGGCTGTTCTTCTACAAGACCACAAACCATCATCTAAGAAAATTATCATCAATGCAGCTTTATCTACTATGTGGTCTGTAATCAAGTTATCCCAGTCATCCTGATAAATGACTTTTTAAATAGGTGGGTTACAATCACAAAGCACATGCTGTGTATGGTGGTCAAATCTTTGATACCCCTGAATCTGTTCTCCATGACAGTGTCATGTTAGAAGAGATTGGGTCAATTCTCTTGCAGAACAGCACATTTCTTTTTAATGTCCACATCTACATATCAAAAGAGTCCAAATTCTGTCATGCCTTCTAGAGTACTTCTATGGGACCACTCATTCTTCTAAGGGGTATGGATCACCTGTCTATTACCTACTGTAGAGCAGTCATTTCTAAGTCAGACTTTCTGGGGTCAAACCCAGCTTCCCCACTCACCTGCAGTGGACCAGGGCTGGTCAAACCTGCTAAGCCTCTGTTTATTGTAAAACAGGGATAATTATGGGATAGAAATTGTTGCAGCGTTTTATATAAGACAGTGTAGGAAGAGTACTCAGTACAGTGGGGCCTAACCTACACACTCAGCACGCACTGCAGTCCTATGGCCCAGTCTTTAGAGATGGAGTGACTCCCCTGGTGGCCCAGCGGTTATCAATCTGCCTGCTAATGCAACTACGGAAGCCTGAGCACCACAACTACCAGCGCGTCCTAGAGCGTCTGCTCCGTGATAAGAGACGCCACCACAATGAGAAGCCTGTGGACAACGAAGAGTATAGCCCCCAATCCCTGCAACTAGAGAAAGCATGAGTGCAGCAATGAAGACCCAACATAGCCAAAAAAATACTAAATAAATAAAATAAATTTTCAAAAAAACCAGAAACACAAAATGAAGAACTCCCAGTCCTGGGCCTTGGAAGTTGGCAGAACCATCACAGAATGCCCATCTCAGCTAAAGTATACATTAAGAAATCAAACCTGCACCTAAACTATGGTGTGACCACTCACTACCTACAAAACAAAAGAAATACATCTCTTTGCACCTCCATTTCCTCATTTTAAAAATAGGGCTAGGATTCATAAGATATTCAAATGAGTTCAGGTATGTAAAGCACATTCCATGGTGCAGAGGAAGAAGGTTAAGAATTCAAGACATTAGGCAACTATTATCTCCAGCATCGTGAGAAGGACTCGCCTTACCATAAGAGCCTTTCACAGGTGTGACTAATGTTCAGATTCAAAGGATGCAAGTTGCTGCATCCTGGCTCAGTCACGTACTAGCACTATAACTTTGGGCAAATGATTTAACCACTTGAGTCTTCATTTCTTCATCTGCCAAATGAGCACAGTAACAGCAGAGGCGTCCTATGAACTGGCGAAGTACTCAGAACAGGGCCTGATGCACAGTAGGCCCTCTGTAAATGCTGGCAATCACATGGCTACTTGGCCCATAAACCTAGGAGGAGCCTTCTCTGTTGCATAAGATCAGCCGGCAATTCTGGCGCCCTCTCTGCATGCAATGCAGGAGACCTGGGTTCAATTCCTGGGTTGGGAAGATTTCCTGGAGAAGAGAATGGCTACCCACCCCAGTATTCTTGCCTGGAGAATCCCATGGACAGAGGAAGCCAGGCGGGCTACAGCCCATGGAGGGGGGAGGGGGCGGGTGTCGCAAAAGAGTCACACACGACTTAGCCACTAACCAACAACCACCACCTCCGTAATGTCCTAAATCCACCACTTCATTCCTTGTCCATTGCCCCCGTCCTAGTGCAAATCTCTAATTTCTCATCTGGCCAGTGCAACAGACTCCTACCTGATCTGCCTGCTGTCACCACTTTCCATACAACTGAGGCTCTATACCAGACTGCAAACTTTTTCTGTGAGGGGCAGCTTACATTGTAAGTAACATTCAGTCTGTCACAACTACTTGATTCTGCTATCCTATTGTGAAAGCAGTCCCAGCATAGCTGACAGGTGACCAGGTAGGTGCAGGTCTGTGGTCCAATAAAACTTTATTTATGGAGGCTAAAATTTGAGTTTCCTGTCAGTTTCATTTGTCACACACACAAACTTTCTTTTTTTCAAAGGAAAAAAAAAATACCACTTAAGAATCATTCTTATTCTTAAGTTGAGGGCTCTCCAAAAACAGGAAGTAGACCAGATTCGGCTGGCAGGCCACAGCTGCCAGGCCCCTGCCCTACAGAGACTGGGTATTTTTGAAACGTAAATCAGATCACATTACCCTAGGCTCAAAGCCTATAAAAGGCTTCCTACTGTATTCAAAACAGACCTCAAACTCTTTAAAAGCGTCACATCACTTAGCCCCGACCTGCCACCTCTGTTCCCATTTCTTTTCTGTTTAAGACATACCTGTCGACAACCTTCTGTAAGTTTAAGGTGTACAATACGTGTACGTGTTGTAGGTGTTGTACACAATACGTGTGCTGATGTGTTCCGTGCTGCAACACGACAGCTACTGTAGCCGCTATGACAACCGGAGCAGTCCTCTCCTCTGGCCCCAGGGCCTTTGCACTTGCGGATGCCCAGTACAGAAACGCCTCTGTCCCCTCCCCCAGGTCTCAACTCCAAAGGCCCCTCGGTTGGAAGGAGGACCCCCGAGTTTGCAGCTCCGCTCGCCAGCACCCACTGCAGGCAGCCCGGGTGTTAACCTGGGTTACCGGGTACGTGGCCAATCCCGCCCCCTCGCCTCCCACCTGCGGACCCCTCACCTGGTCTGCGCCAAAGGGCGTGATGTTGGCCTTGACCGCGCCCACGCCCAGGCCCACTAGAGCGAGCGCGGACAGCACCGCGGGCGCGCAGTAGCGAGCGGGCGCGTCGGTACACGGCGGCGCCGAGCAATTGCGGACGTTCGCAGGGCCTGGGGCCCCGCAGAGCGCCGAGCGTGTAGCGGGCGCGGCCAGCAGCGGGAAGGCCAGCATGCCGAGCAGGTAGAGCGCCAGGCTGAGCAGGATGGCGCGCGCCCGGCCGAGCCGCGCATCGGCGAGCCAGCCCCCGAACGGCGAGACCAAATAGGTGAGGCCCATGAAGAGCAGCAGCGCCTGGCTGGCCTCCGCGCCCTCCCAGCCGAACGCCGTGCCGTTGAGGAACAGCACCAGGTTGGCCGTGACGCCGTAGAAGGCGGCGCGCTCCAGCAGCTCCGTCAGCAGCACGGCCGCGCACGCCGCGCGCCGGCCCTCGAACGCCGTCCGTCGCGCGCCCAGCAGCGGCGCCCGCTCGTCGCCCGCGCCCTCCATGGGCCCACTCGCGCACCGACCGCCGGGCCGCTCTGCCGGCCTCTGCCGGGCTGTGCCGCCACCGGCGCCGTCGCCCTTATCGCGAGACTTGCCCCGCCAGCCTCTTCGGCCCGCCCCACGAGCGTCCCCATAGGGCGAGCCCGCCGCGAAGGCCGCCTGGACTTCCGGTCGCGCCCAGGAAGTCTGCCCGGGAGGTGGCCCGGCTTCCGCCAGCTGCAGTGCGGAGGGCGGGGGCGTGGCTATATAGAGAGGGTTTTAAAAATAAAAACCAGGGTCTCGCCCTTGAAGGGTCCCAGATTTCTTTCAGTGACCTCAGCCTTTCCTTGCCCTCCGGGCTAGTGTACTCAGGCTGGCCCCTGCACGCGCGCCCGGCTTCCTGGCCCTGGAATGTTGACTCTCGTCTCTGCTCTGTTGACTCTAGGAGCAGCTAGTTCTTTTGGCGGTTTGTCCTGTGCGTTGTAGGATGAGTAATGGCATCCCTGGCCTCTGCTGCTGCTGCTAAGTCGCTTCAGTCGTGTCCGACTCTGTGTGACCCCATAGATGGCAGCCCACCAGGCTCTGCCCTCCCTGGGATTCTCCAGGCAAGAACACTGGAGTGGGTTGCCATTTCCTGCTCCAATGCATAAAAGTGAAAGTGAAGTCGCTCAGTCATGTCCGAGTCTTTGCAACCCCATGGACCACAGCCCACCAGGCTCCTCCGTCCATGGGATTTTCCAGGCAAGAGTACTGGAGTGGGTTGCCATTGCCTTCTCCGCCCTGGCCTCTAGTCTCCACTAAATGCCCGTTCCATTCTGTTCCCCACTTGTGACAATCAAAGCTGTCTCCAGATGTTCCCAAATGAACCCTGAGAGCCACTGCCTGAAAACAAGCTCAGAGCCGATTTCCTTGTCACGTGGCTGGCATTCTGTTTTCCTTCAGCCCTCAACTAGAGTGCTGACTCCTTGTAAACATTTCTTGACCAACCCATCTAAAATGGATTCCACGCCCATCCCATTACCCTGTTTTAGTTTCCACATACTATCCGCCGCGTTTTTATGCTTATTCCTTTGGCCCCCGCTTGTACATGGTCCCCACAAGTATGAACTCTATGGCGGCAGGGTTCTTAGTGCGTCTTTTTCTTCACCGTGCTTCATCTTCGCCCCCATTCTCTCCACCCCACCGCCGGGCACCTATGGCAGACACGGTCACAGTGCCACGGGCACCGCGTGGGACACTGCAGCAGTGGTGGAACTGGAGTGTCCTGCAGAAACAGTCCTCAGCATGCTTCAGAAACCAGGAAACAGGGCTATAATGATTCAGTTCGAGCAAGACCACATCCTCTCCTTCCTCCATCCTTAACTCCAGCTAGGATGGAGCAATTACGTAAGTTGTGGCCTTGCTGGTAGGTCATCTGGGTAAGTAGGCCTTCCTAAAAGGCTTGAAGCAGCATGTATTAACTTTTTTATTTTTCAAAATGTCTGACATCTTGACTGCAGCAGAGCAAGGTGCTGGCACACAGCGGGCAGTAGATAAATATTTAGTAAATATTTAATGAGAAATAACTGAATGCCAACATAGAACTTTACCCATCATATCCATTAGTGCTAATCATTTTAAGCTGTCAGCTCCAATGTCCCTTTCCTGATCTTCCCAGATTTGAACAGATCCCCCTTTTATATATCATTAGAACACAGGATACAATTTTCTTACACACCACCCATTATAATTTATGCTTATTTGTTTTGTGAAGATGTTTAGTAGCTGTCCTTAAAGCTCAGAGTGCTGAGATTTTTTCTCTGCTACTATATTCCTAGAATCTAGGACCTGCCAATGATAGATATGTGTGGAATTAAATGAATAAATGAATGATTATTTGTTGAATTGTAAGTGGTGTTGGAAGAACTTGTTATGTTCACCTATTTTTTTTTTTTGAGACTCTTGTGATGTTCTGCAGCATATATTAGTATCCAAATTTTGCTAGTGGAAAAAGCAACCCTCTCAAGATTCCTATCCCGAATCATACATTTAGTAGGCATTAGAATTTAGACTTAAGTAAAAGGCTCCAAAACTAATTCCTAGTCCAGTGCTTCTTCCACACTCCAGCTGGTAGATAAGTTAAGAACTATGAGTCTCTTTTTTAAAGACTGACAGCATGATACACTCAGACAAAGCACAGAATAATATTAGCATTAAACATGGAATGAAAATAAATCTCTTCAAGTGGAATCACATGGTGACTTAGTTTTGAAGCTCTGCCCAAAACAGATGTGCCATTTTGAATGACAGCAAACTAACCCAGTTAGATTGTCTCATTTAAGAAGGATAAAGCCAGGCAAAAAGGGGGGCAGTGGGGTTGGAGGGGAGGGGAGAGGAGGCAGTTACAGAACTCAAGAGGTGCACCCAGGACTGGTGAGCCCTTGTACCTGGTCCTCAGGAGGTCTGCTGTGCACCTCAATCTCAGAGACTGCAAAATATATTCAGCTGCAGAAATGTTTTCCTTTGATTGTGGTGTTTAAAAGAAGTGAGTCAAAACCACATAATGCAGGATTCAGTTTCTGTGAAATATCCAAAATAGACAAGTCTATAGGGACAGAACTTAAGCTAGTGTGTGATACCCAGGTGCTGGGGGGGGGGTGGACAGATTGAGGAGTGACTGCTAAAGCCTTTCGTTTTGTAGTAGTGAAATGTTCTGAAATCATGGTGATAGTTGCACAACTCTGTGAATATACTAAAAACCACTGAATTGTACATGTTAAATGAATGAACCGGATGCTATGTGAATTGCATTTCAGTATAGCCATTGCCCCAAAAAGTGAGCCAACAGCTAAACACTGGGAGGTTTCACATGTAAAGTTAGATGCCCTGCTGCTCTTGAAAAAACAGGTGGAAGCCCTGGCAATATTGGGATGTGTGACTGCCTGTGACACGAGTGACCACTCCCTAAACCCCCCACTTGAACTGCGATGCTGGTATTTGTGTCTTTACATATTCTTTGCAGGCCACAGTGCCAGAGGGCTGTCTGTGACCTGCCCTTGGTGAAGGAACTATGGTAGAAGAGTCTCTGAGCTAGGTCTCAGGGTAAACCTTGAGAAGTTCTGGCAGCTTCCACTTTTGTGCCTTGGGAGTCCTGGAGCAAGCTACCTTGCTGGAGAGACCATGTGTTGGGAAAGATCCTGCAACTCCATGGAGGAGTCCCAGCACCCAAGCCTTCTAGCAGGCCTTCCCGCTGAAAGAAGACACATAAGTAACCACCAGCAAGAGCAACAGGAAAAACTGCCCCACTGAACCTCCACCCAGATCACGGAATCATCAACAGATTGAATAGTTGTTATTATTTATTTTTTTAATCTTTGTGTCTGTGTGGCACGGGAGATCTTAGTTCCCCCACCAGGGATTGAACCAGCAGTCCCCAACATGGAAGTCTTAACCACTGGACCACCAGAAAGTGAAAGTGAAAGTCACTCAGTAGTATCCAACTCTATACAATCCATGGAATTCTCCAGCCCAGAATACTGGAGTGGGTAGCCTTTCCCTTCTCTAGGGGATCTGCCCTACCCGGGGATCGAACCCAGGTCTCCCACATTGCAGGCGGATTCTTTACCACCTGAGCCACAAGGGAAGCCCAAGAATATTGTAATGGGTAGCCTATCCCTTCTCCCGAGGATCTTCCCTATCTAGGAATCAAACCAAGGTCTCCTGCATTAAAGGTGGAATCTTTACCAACTGAGCTATGAGGGAAGTCTGGACCACCAGGGAGGGCCCTAAATAACTGTTACTTTAAATCACTGAGTTCTGCGGAGGTTTGTTAGGCAGCATGCAAAAATGAAAACACGCCTGCGTTCTCCCATGGCCACCATCTGCGACTCCAGGTAACCATCCAACCTTTAGATGGAGCACACACGGTTTAGCTCACACATGTCATCCCAACTCTCCGTTGTCTTATTTTTTCACAGTAGAGAAATTATCCCCCATATCTACACTGACCGCTGTCCAACTGAAATTATTTCAAATTGAATAAAATGAAAAATTCTGTTTCTCAGTCACACCAGCCACTTTGCAGATGGCAGGGGCCCCAGGTGGTGGATGGCCGCCATTGTGCACAGCACAGTCGAGATCACTCCACAGCTACAGGAAGTTCTATGGCTCCATAGGAATGTGCAGCAGGCGTGGTTGGTTACTTGCTACCAATGTCCACACCCTCTTTCTCCTTCCAAACAATCCTGACCCCACCCTGCTCTCCTCCAACTACCCGTGTAGTTCAAGAGAAACTAACTTCATCTTTGTTTCTGGATCTGACAAGTCCATACCAGTGCTCCATCTCTGATGCTTCTTCCTTTTTTAATTTAGTTTTTATTTTTATTACTTATTTTTTTTGTCCTCACTGTGTGGCATGTGGGATCTTAGTTCCCTGACCAGGGATGTCAGGGATCGAACCAGTGCCCCCTGCATTAGGAGCGCAGCGTCTTACCCACTGGGCCACCAGGGAAGTCCTTCTGATGCTCCTTCAGAGCTTTCAGAAACCCAGACTGTAGCTATTCAAGATGTGAATTTCCACCAGGGCCCAGCAGAAGACAAGTGACATGGATGGGCCCAGTCAGGCTAAAGGAAAGAACTCTCACTCAATGACTGCAAGAGAAATACACTCTTCCAGACAGGGCGTGAATGAGAATGCCCATAAACCCAGTTGCCAGGGATGGCTGTTTGACAATTGTGTGACAAATCAGTGTAGGATAAAGCCAGCTTTGTGGATGACACAGTGATGAATCAGGGAGATGTCACATAACAGAAGAAACCAAAGATAGTAAATCTGACGTTGTTTAAGCCACTGTGCTGGACTTTATGTTAGTATGACCCAAAACCACCTGTTGTGAGTCGATCAGAACCTGGGAAAACTGGGATTTCCCTGGTGATTCAGTGGCTAAGACTCTGTGCTCCCAATGCAGGATGCCTGGGTTCTATCCCTGCTCAGGGAAGTAGACCCCCACATGCTGCAACTAGGAGTCTGCAAGCCACAACTAAAG